AGGTATTAACATTCATTTAACTAACTGCTTTAACTAAGGGCCACCATTCATTTCTCCAGTGTGTTGAATAGCTAAACTTTTGACCTTAATTGATAAATAAATGGGGTGGGAGGAGGTGAAAAATTAAATTTCTCTGAGGCTTACTTCAGAATGAATCCCAGCAAATTCCCAGCTATAATTTGATATGGAGACTGCATTAATTATTCTGGTTACAAAGAAAAAATGGAGGGGACACTGGCATGGTCTCCCCCAGTAACTGAGGTACCACTAGAAACAAGCACCCCCTTGCCTTTATCAGGATTCTCCCCAGAACTGTTATCCATTTCCAAATGGTTAAAAAGAAATAGGAATTTCTGTGTAGACATATTTCAAGGATTTTTCGTTTATAGAAAAACTGAACAATACAGAACACTATTCACTTAGTGGATTTTAATCGGAAAGCATTATTTGAATATGTGCTGATATTTCCCAAGCTAAGGGACGTGAAGAGATATGAAGAGTCTCTATGGTCACCATGTTAATTCACATTCTCTTACATATGTGAGTTCCTATCAGTGGGCCAACAACTCACACCCATAAGCTGTAGAATAATTTTAGGAAAGGTAGTTCATATTAGCAGAAGTCATACAACTTTTGGGGGAAGGTACCTTAGAATGTTAGAGCAGTGATAGTTGGGTGGTGGGAGGGCATGCTATTTAATTACCCCGATAACTTTGCTATAAATTGTGTATGATGAAACCTGCTGCTTGTTCAAATGAAGATAAAAAGCTACAGAGAGATTGATGATAGCAGAAATATAATTAATGTTGACCTTATAAAATATTTATATTTTATATATAAAGATGTCACTTTGCCACTATCCTAATCAGGCACACTTTCCAAAGGCAGTCTAGTGAGTTCTCTCAAACAACGCACAAAGTAACATCAGTGGGACATAATTTTATTGTGGACGGTACAATTTCCACCTTATTAGCCATTTATCAGATGAATATATGTGAACAAAGAAAATGGCTGCAGATAAATCTGCATTTTTATCTAGACTTTTTATGGGTCATGAGATTTTTAAATGGTGTGTTCCAAAATGTAAGACTGCAAGTGAACATCATTTCAATGGTTTTCTTCTCAAAGAGGAAGCTATAGAAACCTCACCCATCACAAATTGTGCTAATGAACTAATAAATAAATTTAATAAAAGGATATGAGGGAGAACATNATCACAAATTGTGCTAATGAACTAATAAATAAATTTAATAAAAGGATATGAGGGAGAACATAATGGAGGTGACATTTTTGGTTTATTTTCATATACATAAAAATGGCACTGTTTTTTATCTCCTATATGAAAGTAACACTGCTGAGCTAATGTTGTCTGGACAGGTGCATTCTACTGTGTTTTTAGTTGAAGTAATGAAGTTTTGTTTAGTCATAAAACTCTCCCATCTCACCCCACCCTCACACACAGTCCTCTCTGGGACCAGTGGTGTGTATTTCCATGAGGCTGGCTGAGGTTAAGGTGCAGGCAGGGGTCATGGAATGCTCCACATAAGCTAGTTGGCCCATGAAGGGACTCACCCTGTGATATTGGTGTCATCAATATCACATACTAACCACCTAAGCTACCAACCCAGAGTCCCACTCTGACTTCAGTGAGTCACATAGTAACTCCCAGTGAGAAGGCTTCCTGTTGCATTCTTGAGTGTAATACGATGATACCGATTTCTGATTTTGTCAGGGAAGAGAAACACGTATAGATATATGACCAATAATAATTTTTATACAAAACTTACTATTACATTAAGGCACAGAAATAATTTTAAGAGAACTAAAAATAGAAAGCATCAGTTTCTCATATTTTTCAATTAATTTTTAGGTCCCGTGGATGTCAATATTCTAGCTAAATGTAATCCCTGCCTATCAAATCCGTGTAAAAATGATGGCACCTGCAACAGTGATCCAGTTGACTTTTATCGATGCACCTGTCCCTATGGTTTCAAGGCAAGTAGATGCTGTGGGAACCACAGTCTGAAAACAGCTTTCCTGGGTGTCCCTTCATTATTCTACTGTGCTTACTCTATGCACTGAGAACTATTTTGTTTACATTCAACTATGCTTGCTCATTTTTTTCTCTAGGGTCAGGACTGTGATGTCCCAATTCATGCATGCATCAGTAACCCGTGTAAACATGGAGGAACTTGCCACTTAAAAGAAGGAGAAAAAGATGGATTCTGGTAGGTCATGAGTCTATGATCTTCTGTGTCTGAAGTGTTGAGGCAAGAGTAACTAAGCAAACATGCATTTTTCTTTTCAAATCAAAGGGCAACATTTTAAACAGAATTTCAGAATAAGGACAATATGTGTTGGTTCCTCTCAAAGATTGCGATATTAAAAGCAAATGGAGATATTGCAGTATTTCTTAGCACAGGATGCTGCACAATCAAAAAATTAAAAAGCATGCGCATACACACATTATGACTAATAAGTCAGATTAGGGCAAGACAAAGTATTGGCTCTATTATGCTAATTAATAGCCTGCTAGTCCTCTACTGCAAGTCATATTCATCTGTTGTTTTAGTTATTGCTTCAACAGACAGTGTATAATGATAAAATGTAGTTCCCATTGAAACAAAATTAATGATTCATTTCTAAGCCACAATAT